CGCGTGTCCGTGCATTTCCCCTGTCCATCATCTGTGGACTGACTCAGAACCCTGGACGGAGTTCCCATGGCCGCCTGGCTCTGTACTCTTCGCGTGTCCGTGCATTTCCCCTGTCCATCATCTGTGGACTGACTCAGAATCCTGGACAGAGTTCCCATGGCCGGCACAGAAGAGCTCTTGTAGGCCCCAGCGTGACAAACATGGCTCGGAGAGGCCTTGCCCTTCCCCTGTTTCCTCTGTTCTTGCTAAACTGTTAGATTATATTCCTAAAGCTAGCCACCAAGGTCTATTCCCTAATATGGTCTAATATTTCTTTTCCTGAGACTGACCACCAAGGTCCAGGTGTCAAAGTATTAAAGTCTGTAATCAAAAGCCCCCTTTTGGCTCCCCTAATTAACATACCCAATCAAGCCAGCTCATTCTAATGCTGGATTTCCCTGCTCCCCTTTATAAACTGACATTTGCCTATGGGCCACTCTGTCTCCTCTATCCAGATGCAGTCCTTTGTCCCTCTGGGGCAAATACCCCTTTTCCCCTCTCCCTTGCCTCTTTCCCCTTCTCCCAGGTCCTCTGTCTCTGGCCTAGGTCTCTTATTTCCTGCCCTTTGTCCCTCTGGGGCAAATAAATCTCCTTTGTGCTGAGAACTTGGTCTTGGGGTGCCTTGCACCAACTTCAAGGTCTTTTCAAACACCGTTACTTTATAAAAGAAGTTATTTTTTCAAGAGCAAGACATACCCATGTGGATGAGTTAGAAAATGCATCAAAGCACAGAAGCTATTCTGTACTACAGAGAAAGGTGGAGGCTCTGAGGCTCCTTTTTGCCTAGGGGGCCATTTCTTCTTTCCCTGAGTGGCCCATATGCAGCTTCCTGGGTCTCCCTGCCTGCAGGTCAGATTGGCCAGCTGTGCTTTGCCTCATTCCTTCCCACCCTGCCTTCAGCCACCGACTTCCCTCTTCTCTGCCCTCTCTGGCACCAATTCTTGCTGAATGTATTCTTTCCTGTCTCCAGCCTGACCCCTGAGCATCATCAGAACTGCAAGCTTTGTAGCTTCCCCTAGGTCACGACCTCCAGCAAGCTGAGGCTCTGGTTGGGCACAGCCCAGCCCCTGGATGTTTTAAAAATAAAAGTTAACATGGAAAACATTTTTCAGAGTTACCCCTTTTTAGCCAACTTCACACCTCGATCAATCTTTTAGATTTTATTTCTGTTTAAAAGTTATTTTATGCCTATGGCTGTTTTGCCTGCATGTATGTCAGTGTACCACTGCATGTCTGGTGTCCATGGAGGCCAGAAGAGGATGTTAGATCCCTTAGAACTGGAGTTATTGATGGTTGTTGTGTTTTTACGAGAGAGGGACCTTGGAGGGAAGGACATGGCAGGCGAGAGACGGAACTTAAGTGGAGAGTTTATTGAGAAAAGGGGGAAGGGAAGAGACCAGCCTCTGGGGATAGGAGTGGTGGAAGAGAAGAGAAGAGGAGAGAGAAGAGAGGAAGAGAAACAGAGAGGGGGGGGAGAGAGAGAGAGAGAGAGAGAGAGAGAGAGAAAAGAGAGAGAAAAAGACAGGCAGACAGAGGCAAAGACCTGCTGCCTCTTCAGAAAGAGCTTGAAATGGGCAGAGCTTATCTCTTATATTTTGGTTGTGAGCCTGGCCTTTAATGGCTGAACCACCTCCCCAGCTGGGAGCTTATCTCTTAAAGGAATCTTTTGCACCTGCCTACAGACTATGTAGTGGCATAGCGGCCATAGGACCCTGTGCTGGCCAAGATACTGCCTGGTGCATCCTGCCAGGTGACAGGCCAGCATAACGCCTGAACCTCCATGTGGGTGCTGGGAATTGAATCCAGTTCCTCTGGAAGAGCAGCCAGTGTCTTAATGGCTGAGCCGTCTCTCCTGCCTATAAATTTTACTTTTTGTTTTTAATTGTGTGTGTGTCTGTGTGTCTGTGTGAGCTGGGGTTCCAGGCAGTCATCAGCCACCTGACTTGGGTGCTGGGACCTCAGCAAAGATGGTATATGTGCTTAAACTCTGAGCCATCTTTTTTTTTTAAATATTTATTTATTTATTATGTTTACAATATTCTGTCTGTGTGTATGTCTGCAGACCAGAAGAGGGCACCAGACCTCATTACAATGGTTGTGAACCACTATGTGGTTGCCGGGAATTGAACTCAGGACCTTTGGAAGAGCAGGCATTGCTCTTAACCACTGAGCCATCTCTCCAGCCCTTGTTTTTGTTTTTTGAGGCAAGATTTCTCTAAAGCTCAGAGGTTGCCTGGGTACCTCTCCAGTGTGGCCTCACATAGCCAGTCCTCGGTGGAGCCTAGCCTGAGCCTGCCTGTTGCTACGGACTCTAGTTCTGCTGGCCTACCCTTGTGGTCCTCTCAGGATGCTCACCCCTCTGCATCCACACATGCAGGCAGGGTGCTAAGGCCCAGCCAAGGAACTGGGAGGACACAGTTTGTAACACTATCTTTCAGCCTAGGCGTAGAGGCACTGGTGGGAGATGGTCCAGTCCAGCAGTGCAGAGAGTGGAGAGGGCCGACTGTGAGACAGTTTGCCCAAGGCCCCGGACATGGCCAAGATCTATAGTGCTTTCCTGTTTCCATGATTCCTGCCACCAGTAAGTGGTGACCAAATGCTTTATGACCTGGCCTTGGGGTCTACCCCTCTATTGTGGGGCAATCACAGGACAGTGATTTGTCTTTTAAGGATATGGACCTACCACTAGGGGAGGAATGGCAGAATTCCCACTGTGGCTCAAACAATCACAATTATGGTGCATCCCAAAGATCCAAGGCACAGTTTATACTAGATTCTTTCTGTCTGTGATCAGTGATGGGAGGCAAGGAGAGTTAGTAGTGGGTGGGAGGAGTGGGGATCCGTAAAGAGAGGGCCACCAGAGGAGGCCTGTAGCAGGCACTGCCTTTCTCCTCCGCGCCAGCAGAGGGCGCTAGTACCCGGAGGAGGAAAAGTGTTTTTTTAGGCTAAGCATTTTCCTCTTGCTCCTGTGTGATCAAGTGCCATACTGCCTGGCTTTCAGAGTACCATGGTGTGTGGTACTCCATCCAGCCTATTTCCCTGTACCCAGCTTCCTCACCACTGGGACTCCCCAGGCATGGATAAAATCTGGGGAGGTCTTTCTGGGTCTTTCCTCCCACAAAGGGAGGTTGGGGAGTTCAGCAAAGAGGCAGGCGGCCTCTTCTACAGAGGGTCCCTACCCACCGCAGTGCCGTTATTGCTTCTGTTCACACTTCTTCCTGGGTGTAATTCAGCACTGGCAGGTCACGGCGACTCCATCCATCTGTCCTTCATTTATTATCTTCACATGTCATATCCTGAATTAGGGACTGGGGACATGGAAATTCATTTTCAACTCACTCTGTGTGTGTATTTGTGTGTGTGTGTGTACACTCACGCACGTGTGTAGAGAGAGATTTTTAATTTTTTAAATTTATGTTATTTTATGTGTAAGAGTGTTTTACCTGCATGTTCATCTGTGCTCCACACGCGCGTGCGTCTGTGCTCCACATGTATGTGCTTGGCACCTGAGGAGGTGGTGAGACTCCATATGGGTGCTGGGAGTCAGACTTTCACATTGCCCCTCAAACCACTGAGCAAACTCTCCAGCAGAAAGAGAGAGAGAGACAGAGAAAGAGTATACAGAATGCATAGGGAGGCATGTAACAAGACCCCTTCCTCACGGATGCTTGAAACGATGGATAGCACTGAGTGCTGTATAAACTGTGGTTTCTTCTTTACTTATGTATCTATGATAAATTTAACTTATAAACCAGGTACAGTAAGAAATGAGACATTAACCACTAATGATAATATAAAGCAATTAGAACAATGCACGAGAATAAATCTATGCTGGTGGCCATGCCAGAGGAGCAGCAGAAGGCAGCTGACTTCAGGGCGTCGGCCCACCAGGAGATGAATCCCTGGTGGGTGGATCATGGATAGGAAAGGCCCAGGGACCACAGACCCCAGAACGTCCTTTGCTTCTGCTGAGCCTTCACACGTTGGCTGCTTGCCATCTTTCTCCGGCATTTGGCGTGGTATGGATGGGTGTGGGGATCCCACTGCCTGCAATGGGTGCGTTTATCTCATGGGAACATCCCATTGTACTGGATTACCTGTGTGTTATTATGAAGATGATTTCTTCTTAAGCTGTACTGTGTAATTGATAATAATAATGCTAGTTTAACTAGAGTTTTTTTTTTAAATTTATTTATTATATATACAATACTCTGTCTGTGTGTATGTCTGCAGGCCAGAAGAGGGCACCAGACCTCACCACAGATGGTTTTGAGCCACCATGTGGCTGCTAGGAATCGAACTCAGGACCCCTGGAAGAGCAGGCGATGCTCTCAACCACTGAGCCATCTCTCCAGCCCTAACTAGAGTTTTAATGATAAAACAAGGGTCACACAGCTAGAACACATGCGTGGCTATTCAGGGGCCACAGAGACTGTGGCTTAGGTTAATGGTTAGGAAAAATAGCTGCGTCCCAGCAGCTCAGTGATTTTCAACTCTTCTAATCTTAACGTTGGGAGATGTGTTCACAGATTTTGGAGTGTATCATAGCTAAAACAAAGCTTTGAAAACAGCTCAAAAGTTAGACAAAGATGTTTTTGTTAAATATCTTTGAGGTGAAAAACCCAAGAAGACATTATAAAGTTTGAGGAAGGCACATGGCTGAGTGGGGAACTCATTAAGGTCAGGGAACAAGAACAAAGCATCCCAGTTATCATTAGCTGACATGCTTTCCTCGCTAGGGTGGGTTGGTGATCAAAGGTGGATGAGGATTAATTCCTTGTTCCTATTTCTGCCCTCAATCTCCTGACATAAAAAAACTACTGATGAGTGGGTTTGACCCTAAAGATTTAAAGTAGAGCTGACTAATTTTTTCTCATGATAAGAGTTTAGGTTTGTGATTCCTTTAAGATTTCCTCCTCCTCCTCCTCCTCCTCCTCCTCCTCCTCCTCTTCTTCTTCTTCTTCTTTTTTTAACGCATCACGGATTTGCGTGCCATCCTCTTGCAGGGGCCACGCCAATCTTCTCTGTGTCGTTCCAATTTTAGTATATGCACTGCCGAAGTGAGCACAGGATTTTTTTTAAGATTACCTTTTAAGATAAGTAGTAAAGTGATCGGTCCATTCTGTGTAACTGAAAAACACAGCCTGTCAGTAAACAACCTGACCGAGAAAAACACCTTGCTTGCTTACACGCTGTTAATCTAGAACAAGTTGCTTGGGTATGGATGTACATGGATTCTTGGGGATAATTTGTTTTTCACCTGTAGTATGTAAAATGCTTATAATCATGTAAGGGACATGGAAAACAGCATGTTTTCACTTGTGTTCATTGTAATCATTTGCTTGAGAAATGGAATGTGACCGCCTTGTATTCTGATATTGCTTGAGAAACTTTGCTGGGGTATATAAGCTGTAGAAGAAAAGTATACAGCAGAAGAATACAGAAGATTGAAGAAGGGAACCATCAAGAGAGTGTGTGAGTGCCTTTTCTCCCTACCCCCTGAGATAAAAATGTCTTAGCATACACTGACTCCGTGGCTCTCCCTTTTAGTCCCGTGCTGCTGGAGGCTGGCCCCGGGCTACAATAAATCTGATGGCAACACTACTCCTGAAACTGGGAACGTTATGAAGTAAAATGGGAGCTACTGGGAGATAAGTACCACAACGCAGTGGTGAACTGGCCGGCTACATACATAGCACAGAAGATCTGAGAAAGGGAGACGCTCATGCTGGGTCAGACAGAGTGAGGCCTCACAGGATTTTATCCTGCTACTCAGAACTGTTCTCTGTTTAACCCTGATACATTGCTTAGCTCTGTAATGTCTTTTAATATTTGAGAAAGAGGTTACGGTCAATATTGGTTGACTTTGTGTTGTTCTAATCTTGTCAACTTGATGCCATTTAAGACTGCTGTGTAGACAGACCCCCCGGACATGTCTGGGATGGGGTTTCTAGACAGACTACTGAGGAGGTAAAACTTCACACCGTCTGTGGCCCTGTTCCCTGGGGTGGAGTGCTGGGCTGAATAAAAAGAGTTCATCATCATGTCTGTCTTCAGTCCCTTGTTACCCTTTCCTGGAAGGCTTTCTCTGCTCTATCCTGTGACAGTGGTGAGCTGGTTCCTCTGAAACATCTCCGAAGTTTCAAGCCCTTGGCCCTGTCCCTCACTCTCTGAGGGACACTCAGGGTTTTTCTCTGATTCAGTACCTAGTCTGTTCTGAATGGCACCGCTCTGGCCACTCTAGTGGGCCCTGGATCCTGATTAGAGAGGGTCTGGGGTGGTGTGTTTGGAGGCCGGGGTCCATAGATCCTCTGTGGAGACAAAGGTCACTTGGAGAGACCTGGCCAGGTTCCGGGCTTCACCAGCTCCGGTGCCTCTCTGACATCCGTTTCCACATGACCACTTCTGAAACTAGTGAGAAGACGGCTATTGAGACCATCATTCACTTCAGCTGCTGCCTTGCTAGTCCTGTCCCAGGCCTGCTTGTAGGAAGCCTGACTTGGGGCATCTGCAGGGAGGGTGCCCAGGGCTGTCTCACTGCTCTGCTGCCACTAGCTGTGCCCCGGAATGAGCTCCAGAAACAAGCCCAGGACTGACCCAGCCATGGGTTAGATATGAGAGAGAGGGAGGGAGGACCAGATGGTGCACCACATCCTAGGGATGTGTGTGGGAGCATTGCCAGGGTTTCCCAGCAGCACCCTGTGTCTAACCAGGCTAGAGGATGGAAAGAGGTGTGTGGGATGCGAGTCCAGACAGCATGAGGGAACTCTCGCCATACTCCGTGTCCAGAGGCTGCGACTGGTGACATGTCCAGAGGTGTGGGGACAAATCCTCTGGTGGTGTATCCCATGAGAGCCTCCCTGCCGCGAGCCCTCTAGGAAGCTATCCCTGGGGCCAGAGGGGACACACAAGTGATTATGCTGTATAATGGACAAAAGGGCCTGGCTTGCAAGGTGCTCATCCCCAGCCCCAAACCCAGTGCTGTGCTGGTCTATAAAGCCAGTACCACGGGGGCTGGGGGACTTGGGTGTCAGGGCTGGAGAGCGGTGTAGGGCTGGGTCAGTTCTACATTGTCCCTCCTTCTACCCATTACAAATGTTCCCAGTCACATATATCTTTAAATCAGGCTCCAGGGCTGCAATTCTTTTGTCCCATAAAAAATCCGATAAGGGTTTTCACTGACACACACAGATCCATGGAAGTGGCTAGTTCATGTCCCGTGAACTCCTTAATGGAGAAATTCAGTTAAGAAAGGAATTAAATCATCAGGGCATTCTAAGGGGAAGGGAAGGTTAGTGTGGTAAACTACAGCTTTAGGTGGTTAGTAAAAGCTAAAGAGTTTATTTTCAATAATGTTATGAATAGGGCATGGATTGTGTTTTAAATCAGCCCTCCTCTTCTTTTCTCCCAGTAGGCATAGAATCAAGCAATCAAGCAACCTGTGTAAAGAGTCAGATAGAAGCTGTTAGCTCTTGATCAGATAACACGTACATCAGACGCTGCAGTTCCTAAGAGCCTAGGTGTGGAGTTAGACTCCCTGCTCTAGGTGGTAGGAACAAAGAAGGGACCCAGGCCTCTGGATGGTCAGTTCTGAGCTATGCTGTTGATATCAGCTGTTCTGATCGTGGGTCTTGTAGGGTGAAACCGGAGCAGCAGCTTGGGCAGGGAGTGATTCTGCGTCCCTGGGGATCTGTGAATACCTTAGATGGGAAGCTCTTTGCCTGGACCCTGAACTCTGACCAGGTGCCTGCTGATAAAGATAATTGCAGACGGCAGATCTCTGCGCTTACCTAGGAGAGGGGAACAAGGTCTGGCCAGTGGGAAACTGTTCTCACTAGAGGGTTCTGAACTGTGGGAATTAACTCCCAAATATGTAACAGACAGGAAGTTAGCTACAGCAAAAATCTACAGCAAATGACAGCCACTTTACTCACAATGTAATAACTCCAAAAAGCCTTTCCTTTTGGTTTAGCCTCAGCCAGATCCCGTGGTTCTGATGAGTCGCTTGTGAAATGATGGCTGAGAATTTACTGTATAATGTTGCGGCTTGTAGCAGATCTTATTCAGAGGTTCTGTTTTGTTTGTTTTTGTTTTTTGTTGTTGTTTTTTCAAGATGGGGTTTCTCTGTGTAACAGCACTGACTGTCCTTGAACTTGCTTTGTAGACCAGGCTGGCTTTGAACTCACAGAGATCTGCCTGCCTCTGCCTCCCGAGTGCTGGGATTACAGGCATGGGCCACCACCTCCCAACTATCGTTCAGAGGTCCTGGATAGGGAATACCGTTCAGTCCAGTGTACCCCATGTCTTCTTAGCCTTTGGCCTTTTCCCCCAGGACTTGCACCTTATTCTGTAATTGTGTAGTCCTGTTCCCAAGAACCCCATGAAGGCAGAACTGCCACGTTCCCATTTACTGCCCCACTACAGGGTTGGGCATAAGGGAGCTCTGCAGGGCTGTTTAGATCCATGGAAAGTCAAAACAACACACACGGTCCCAGCCCCTGGACTGAGCGTGCAGGGAGAAGAAAATAATCAGAAGCCTATGAGGACTGGAAATGTACTGAGATATAGGGAGCTGGAAGAGTAGTAAAATAACAAGAACCATGTAGGGATCCCCCCCCCCGAGAGAGGCGCAGGGAGGTTGCTGCAGTCGCAGGGGAAAATGAACATAGCATATGTGGGTTCTCAGTGCCTCTGGTGACACTGAGGTGCCTGTGAAGATGGGCCCTGGCCACCAGGCTCTTTGGAGGTAGGAACTGGAATTGGAACAGCAGGAGGACTATGGGATCTTGGGATCTTGATGCAGGCAGGTTCTAGGGGGAACATACCCAGCCAAACAAAGGCAGAAAGCTGCCCAGTTCCTATCCAAGCTCTCTGCTAACGATTTTGGACCCTCATAAAATCCTAAGTAGCAGATGACTGGCGAATGTATGAAAGTTACCTGCATCTAGAGGGTAGGGGTGGGGTGATACCCTGATGGGTTGTACTGATATGGTGGGGAAAGACATGTGTAGTGTTTCTTCAGATCTAGAGTCCTCTCTTGTTATTTTCCTACCCTCCTAGTTCTCTACATCTCGGTACATTTCCAATCCTCATAGGCTGGAATATTCTCTTCTCCCTGTCTACTTAGCCCAGGAGCTTGGATCGTGTGTGCTGTTTTGACTTTACGTTGATCTAAGCAGCCCTGTCAAGCTCACGTAAGCCTCCATTATCAGGTGGTTTTGAAAATATTAGAGGCTGGAATCAATGACAAATCACTCTGTCATTTTCCTGTCACTTGGTTCCTCTCCCGAGGGTCTGACAGAACCTAGGGATTCCTAGTCCTGTAAGAGTGAGGGACGCAGAAGTGTGGTGGGTTCTCTAAGGTCTCTGGGCAGGTGCCATGGAGTGGCATCTCTAGTGTGTGGGCCGAGGCAGCAGCAGCAGTGTGTGCATGAGGTGTTAATGGGTTTGTAGAAGCTTTGGTGACAGAATTATCTTTTCTTGTCTTTGTGGGTTGACAACCTTGGGGGCAGTACTGGGCTTGTGGAGAGTAGGAAACACATTTATCAAGGGGGTTAAGATGGAGTGATTGTGTTTATTTTGTGTAGAGCAGCCAACCTCAGGAGCAGTCAATCTCACCGTGACCTCAGGAACCAAGTGATGCCCTCTTGGGGCCACTCTGGGCCCCACCTTGCTCCCTAATATGTCCCTACTCTGGCTTTTCCACCCAATAAACAAATTCTGTATCCCATGGCTCCTTGAGTCTTTGGAGATGCCCTTGGGCAGGGCACAGTGGGCCCTGTCTTAATTCCAACCCTTCTGGGGAGACTGATGTAAACTCTGGCGACCTAGGGGATCCCCTCCCCCAGGAAAGAAGCAGGAGGTTTCATTTAAATTTGGTGCCAGGAGGTTGCTGCAATCACAGGGAAAGATGAGAATATTTTATGTGGGTTCTCAGTGTCTTTTGTGAAACTGGGGTGCCTTTTGAAGATGGGTCCAGGCTGCTTTGGATGCAGAAACTGGAGCTGGAACTGGAACAGCAGGAAGGCCATGGAGTTTCTTGTCTGGGTTTGGCTTCCCACTACTG